AAATTTTGATTTTTGCCTTAACTTCCCCTTTAAACAGCAGTGAGCATGTTGTCTGAAACGATCCACTGAGAAGGTTGATTTGCAACGTCAAGTCTCGGGACGAAGCCGGACGGGTTCAGATGCACGATTTTCGGAACTGGACCTAGCCAGCTTCATGCATGCCACCGTTGTCGACCTGCAATTATGCTTGTAATGCCAATTTTGCATGCGAAATGGTGTTATAATGCCAGCACAGCCTATCAAGACGCTCTCGTCAGGTGTACATGTATGTGAAGGCGGTCATAATGCCCGACCTGCTTTATGGCTCCTGCTGCTTTTCAGCCGCAATGCGAGAGGGTCAACTGAAACGACTGCAAACCGCGCAAAACAGAGCCATCCGCTGTATCGATGGCAACCCGCCCGGACAGCCATGCAGCCGCTGGTCACTGCTCACTCCCTGTGCCGTTCCCCGTGTCAGCGAGCTCTACAGGCAGAAAATATTGATCACCATTTGGCGGTGCATCCTCGCCCGCACCAGCCCTGTGCTCGCCCAGCTTCTAACCCCAGCACAAGGCACCCCTACCCGCCATCAGCAGTCAAATGGCCTACTAAGCCAGGCAAACCGTAGCCGCCGCGGTCAGCGGAGATTTTCTGTTGCTGGTGCTCTGCTGTGGAACGCTCTCCCTGGTGAGGTCCGCACAATTACCCAGCTACCTGAGTTTAAACATGCATGTGTACCATATAGCCATTGGCGGACTATGCTCGGCCAATCGTCAAATTATGCTTTTGATTATGCCACAATTATGCCAACAAATATGCTGAATTATGCGGAATTATTATTTTTCAAGCCTCTTATACGGGCAATCACAGAACTTGATTTCACTGGCCTGACCGCGGCAACAACTGCAAAGCAAAACAAAACAAAAAATGTAAATAAAAAGAAAATGAAACTTTACAATCTGCACACAATGACAACTCCATTTTTAAGATAGTCTCTGTTGATCAGTCAGTATCCGTTACCCGTGTTAGCTAGTTGCCAACAAGGCGGGCTTCGGCAACAGGAACATCTGGAGAGGCGTCATCCATCCCCCTATGCCAGGGAAATGGTGAGCGAGCAGACACATGATGTTAGCACACAGTAAAGCAAAGGCCAGCCGGCTCCGGATAAGCGAGATATGGGTATGATACCCAACTGATCCACGCTCCTCCATAAGGACAGCCAGCCGCCGATAGAATGCAGCAGCAGCACGGCCCATACCACCAGTTGTTGCCAGGACAAGTGGAGTGAAACCCGACATCTCCACCTCTCGTACTCGTTCAGCATAATGGCGTCGCTTCTCAGCTTCGTGCTTGTTGAAGGCAGATTGGATGTGGGCCGACCGGTTCGAAGCTGCATATGGGTTGAATACCCTTACATCAAAAAAGCAGCGTTCAAACCGTCCGCCCCACACCCCGCCTGCCACAATGTCAAGCCGTGCCTGGTCAGTTGATATTGCCGTCCGATGGCGAAACCGCTCACCAGTGACCGGCTGAAGATGAGGCTCCACCGCAACGTTATTGGCCACTCTCCGGAGCATGCTGGCGGTGACGTCACGTACCTCATTGTGGCGCAATGTTGGAAAGCCACCCTTTGGGCAAGATAATGCGTGGCAGAGATCGAACTGGCCCCACAGGCACAGCTACTGGGAAGACCAGTCAATGGCCAGCCATACCGAAGGGCAATGCCGTCCCGGAACTCACTCTTGGTCAGAGCGAATCCGTGGCGCTTCATCGGCCGGCAAGTCAGCCAACTGGACGCTCCCGGCTGGGAGGCCAATTGGCCAGAATAGGAGAGTTCTGCCGGTGCCGCCGCAAGGAAATCAAGCACTTTGATCTTCAAAGCTGCACTCAGGAAATTTACAGCTGACTATGCTTATGCAATCAACGGAATTCCGCCACCTTGCAGTTGATTTTCCCCATTTCTCTCCTCATCAATCCCTACTTCTCTTTGTACATACATCTACATCTACTGTTCTTTCAATCAAATGAACCCCTCGATAGGCACATTGCATTTGGGTCATTTCATAATAATAATAATAATAATAGAACGTCTGTTCGCTGCCGACAACTTGCGCTTCGCGGAACGAATACAGTCCAACGAGTCGCCAAGGGGAGCCTGAGAACAGATGCGTTCCACCAGAGGCGCTGTAATGGTCTTCGAAGTTGTGTCCTGGTGGTTTAGAGTGGTGGGGACTACAATTCCCAAGCCACCATGGTGGCAAGGAAAGGAAACCATTTCTCTCTCCATTTAATTAGGGTAGTATCCAGTCACCATTGGGAGGAGCTTGTGATGAATAGCCTCCTCCAACGGCTTGAGGGCTTCTGTAGCACCCTCCACGGTCCGGCAAAGAAACGTCCATTTACTCTGCAGCCCATTCACCAAAGCATGGTAGGCTGCCTGTGGCTGCGACTCAGCAAACTCACACAACTTGTTCACCTGCCCGAGGAATCCACTCACTCTGTCAGCCAGGTATTCCTCGACGAACGGAGCAGTGCCGAGGGCTGCGCCAAGATGACGACAGCCATCCATCCTCACCTGAACGCCTGTGTTAGCGAAGAGATCAAGCGCCTCATGATACCTGTCTGGCTTCACAAGAAGTATCGACTTGGTTGGATTCAAATGGTACCCGTAAGCTTCCCCAAGGCTGCTCAGAGAGTCCCACCACGCACGAACTGCCCGCAATCGGCCTGCTCCGGAAGAATCATCCGCAAACCATGTTTGGATGATGTCAGCCATTGAGACGCCCTCAATCAACGGCAGCACCCCCAGCCTATACAAGGCCATTGATAAAGGATCTCCCTGCGTGATACCTTCTGATGAGTGCACTATCTCACCATCAACATACAGACGGGCGCGACTACGGTAAGTGTTGATGACAGCGGTAGAGAGAGAAGGGCATGAATGACGTATATTTTGTAGACAGCATCCGCGATTCAGTCTATTAAATGCATTTGACGCATCAGCCAGCAAAATTCCATCAACTAACTTCCGGCGATTGAAAGACACCACACATTGCATGAACTGCGGCCTCGACACCGCATTCCTGACCGGCACAAAGCTGAATAGAACCTGTGACTTCCTGGATTTTATTGCCAAGCACACCCATAATCGCTTTCCCGATTATGCGTCGCATTACCTCACCTATCCCAATGGGCCTCACACCTGGATTTTTGTCCAGAGGAATAAGCCTGCAAGCGGTGTAGGCTTCTAAACTGACTGGATCAACATAGGCGGTGGCGGTGCGAATGGCACAGGCGGCGACAGCATCACATAAACCATCAGATGCCTGACCGAACGAAGTGAGCATACGCCGCCAGACATCAGCATCCACTCCAGACGGTCCTGCAGCTCCCTCGACCTTCAGAGCAGTTCGTAGAATGCTATCTCTTGTTATGGCAGCAAATAGAATTGGATGTGGGGGCTGTGGCGGGGCACCATCAGGTACAGATCCGGGCTGGATAGGTGCTGCCTCCGGGTGTTTACTCTTCAGAATATCACGCACCGTTTCACCATCAATTTCGTCGTCAAGCCGCAGTATACCTCCCCACTCATTACCATCCAGCATTCACAAAGCCGACTTGAGTTTGCCTGATGTCACCCTCGAGGCAAAATCCCTGGCAGTATCATTCATATTGGACTGAGGAGTTCTTTTTGCCCGATCATCCAGCTGCTGGTGGATTGTTCTGCACTCATGAAGGAGCTCCCGAACCTCGCCCCGGTTCCATAGCTCCATACGACGTTTTAAACATGCTGCTGCAGAGTCAGGCCTCACGCCACATGGTTTCTGTAACAAGAGCTGTTGATAGACCATGGCGACCTTTATAGCAATTCCTTCGTAAGGCCCAGCACGACCGAAACAGGATAGGTAAGTTGTTAGTTGTGTCACGAAAGAGTTACCCACACCTCCTGTTGGTACTTGGAAAGCATTGGGGCGAAAATGAACAAGTTTATCATAAGTATTCTGAATCAATTCAATTGAACAGGTGTTAGTTAGACCATTGATTATGAAACCATCGAAAGTTGCTTCCGTGTGCTGTGGCAAATCCTCAGTCTGCCGTTCATCCCGGCTCGATGTCAGAGAGGGCGAACAAGCCAAACCCAAGGCAGAACCGAGGGACTGCGATGCCGGGTTGCAACACGTCTCCGGGGGCAACGCCACACGGAGCACATCCGCACCAGACACCATGTCCTGACAGGATGCTGGTTGCCGTGGGAGCAAATCATCAGGCGCCATAGGAGGAGAATCCACCACAGACGGCGCTACCACGACGGAAGCAGAGTCACGACTAGCAGACTCAGCAGGCATTGACAAATCATGGGTAAGGCGATGCACAGAATCAGCCGCCTGAACAGCAACGCCCGACACATCGCCCACTCTCATCCGGTTGTTAGACGCATTATGTTGGTTATGATAGTTTGATCTCAAATCAGACGATGGGTGAGTGCATGGCACGTCCGTTCCAGCACACGAGCCTCCAGCACTCCGTGACCCCACATTCCGGGGAACCCAACCAGGAGGCGCAGCAGGAGGTGCAGATGGCACTTGAGCATCACCAACAATTGTAGTTCGAAGATCAGAATTGCCAAAATTTCGACAACGGTTATCTCGACCAGGGCCACAATTCTCACAGCACCTGCCCGCATCGCAGTATCTAGTAGTACAGTACAACACAACACAGTACACTACAATTATTTGTGTACAAACAACTGCAGATTCAGACGGCACGTCATCTCCTCCGCGATCCGCACGTGCACGATCGATCGGCATGCGCACATGCACACGTAGATCTACGTTCGTAGCTAGCTACGTAGATCTACACGTGCCCACATTATGTCAATATGTGCACACCGCGCCGATATTTGACCATATCCGTCGATCACGGATTCCAGGATTATGCTGACAACAGCCGCTAGCTTAGCAGGACTGGAGAAGCAGGGACTTTATCCTTGTCGGACTTGTCCAGCTAAATAACTAATGTTACTTCATTTCTTGCAGCTTGTTGCTGTTTCCCGATCTCGCTTCCATCCATAGTTAATTTCTGAGCCATAGGGCTAGGCAAGTAATTAGTTGGGAGACCAGGTCACGCAGCAACATCACACCATGTGGAGTAACAAACCTTCACTGCATTTCTAAGAAAGAGGAGGATCGGAGGTAGGTGTCCTGCGTTGCATTTTGCACGTGCTGAGCGGCGATGGCCTCAAAGCCAGCTGCATCGCCGAAAGAGTTGTTCCTCAGCTATGGACGCGAGCGCGAGGTGCTAGAGTTTGTGAAGCGTCTCAAAGAGGACCTCGAGGCCGATGGCTTTGGCGTCTGGCTGGATCAAGACGATATACCTGCCGGCTGTGATTGGCACGCGGCAATAGGCAGTGGCTTGGAGCAGTGCAAAGCCCTTCTGGCGGTCGTCACGCCGAAATATGTCACATCTCGTTACTGCACCAGCGAACTCTATGTGGCCGACGGAGACCAGAAGTCGATCTTCCCGATCTTTTTCGCCGACACGGACCTCTCGTCGGGTGAGCGCGCCCGGGGTGTGAAGTATGTAATTTCAGCAATCAACTGGACCATGTTCAGGCCCAACGTGGACGACTATGACATGTCCTTGGAGAAACTCAAGTTCGGCCTCCGACAGCACGGTAAGCTGATGACGAGTGGTGACTGAATCCCTGTGAGGCGGTGGACTGTGATTATGGTCATGGTGCGGGGTTCAAGTGTTTGCAGTTACTGTTTGTATGCCATGTCAGCGATTCACACTCACAGGCACCACTTGGATGACAAGAATACCATGATGTATGTAATCAAGCACGCTCAGGAGGTCACGATGGCTGAATCTTGACCGAGCCTGCAGCCCAAGGGCTGCAGGCAAGGGCAAGATTCAGCCATCATGACAGACAGAGCGTGCTTGATTTGATTTCTTACAGCGCGAAGCAACATATTAGGGAAGGTCAAAGGTCGAAAGGTCGAAAAATTATTCCCGAAATGACGTCAAACGGTCCTGACATTCCCGAAATGACGTCAAACGGTCCTGATACTCCCGAAATGACGTCAAACGGTCCTGATGGCCTGATTATGCCCGCGGCGGGAAGACCGCCTATTGGCAACGATCACGTGTCATGTAAGAAGCCACTGTTGGACTCGGAGGTGTAGTGTGCTTGATGAAGACTGGAACAGCAAACTGTGCTCTTCGACATTTTCTTCTTTTCTGCTTGCTCAGCTGGCTGCGAGCCCCAAACGAAATCGGTATTTTTGGTAGTCGCAGTGAACATAGTCATTATACCGTGCATCGAAAACATTTTGAAAACAACACGAGCACTTTTCCACATGTGAGCGGACAATGTAGAAATGGAATGTTAGCTGCAGTCTGGCAAAAACTGGTTTTTTTTGCATGAGGGTCACCTACAACTATCTGTTTTTCAGATCCCAAAGTTTCAGGCTGATACTATGGTGGAAAGTGCCTTACATTCACCATTTTCTAGATGCCGGTCACCGGTATTTTAAAGTCTGTTTCGGGGTGATTTAAACAGTCCATCCTTCAGTACAACCAAAACACTGAAAAAATCCCATTATCTCGCCCTGTATTTCTCCACAAGTGTATATCGGTGTGAACGATGAGCTGATCACGCACATAAGACTGGTTTGAGGTGGAACCAAGCAACAAAACGACAAAGCTAGAAACAGCGGCCGAAACCGAAAAATCAGCTCCCGAGTAACTCGTGATGCAAGGCATAATAATAGGACTGTTGAAGCTGGTATTCGATCCACACATCAAATAACACTACACACATGTCAAAAATAGAAGAATTTGGAAGACAAAATTAATGGTAATTCCAGTGCATTCTTGCTTCAGCCATGTGTGCACGCTCTCATCGTTTATTGTTGGCGAGCCTAGACTCTGCTGGGATGCATTGAGGCTACCGACGACTGAGCGGCGCACCTTGGTATAATTGTTTTTAACTTTCTTGGCAGGAGACAGACAGCTCTTGAACACAGCATCAAAATAATATTTCGGAGATGCACCACCAGTACGGAGCCCATTGGCGAAGCAGGACAAGTCCACAGACTTGAGAAACTGTACTTAACGTAACGTTACACATCAGTCGGAGGCCCGATTTGACTGCTTTCCACTCAGCCCATGTTCACCAGCCTTGGCCATTCTGTGCATCTCAATTTTAAAAGCACTCATTTCCAGACAGTGCACCATGCAGGTCTGCCACTTACATCCATGCATTGGGCAACAGCTAGTGGTTTAACTAAGTCCCTGTATACGTTCACCTGTGGTGCACGACGCTATTGTTTCTTCAGCTCCTGCCCTGTGTGCTTCAGAGCTCTGAAGTCAGTTCGGCGTATACATTCAGTACAACTCAGCATCCACAGGAACGTTCCCCTTCATTGGTGTTATCATCATCACTGCTGTCACCACGTTCGCCTGCATCCGAAAGATCCATCTCATTTCTTCCCTATGTCTTTTTGTACCGCGCTCGAG